AAGAATCACTTGAAGATAGGTGGAGTGCTTGAGGTCAGAAATTCCCGTTCTTTAGTCTTTACAAAAATTATAAACTGGCCTTATCTTTTTCAAATCAACACATTAACTTGTTTTTTAAAACACTGTAATTTTTTCATTATTTTATGATATAATGCATTAGAAAAATTCCAACATTTACTTAATTTTTGTTCATTCCTCTCGGTAACTTAATTTTTTCTGACAATATGATTACAGATTTTTTTTTCTGCTCCATTTTCTGTTAGCCTGAGAATTTTGACTGTGATATTTACTTATGGTATTCTTCTAATCAATGTTGTTTATAATAGAAAAACATAATTTTGCTTTTTCTTACAATGACATTATTTAATTGGATAACATTTGCTTTTCTTTCTTGGAGTGATTCTTTCTATTTGATATTTATCTGTTCAGACAGAAAGTTCTTGTTTGTTTTGCTATTTACACATTTTTAAAAAATGTTTTTGTTTTTTGTTCAAGATTTGGGTTTAAGATTATTTTAGTTTATAGATATTGAAGACCAGTGTTCATAACATTTTGTCCTAGACAAAAGCTTGGAGAAAAAGCTGATCTTTCATATGATAATGTTTCTAAACCATGAGTTGGTAAACTATGGCCTGTGGGCAGGCTAAAATTGCCTATCACCTGTTTTTACAAATGAAGTGTTATTAGAACACAGACATCCCTATTTATTTGTATATTTGTCTGTGTCTGTGTTTGCCCTACAACAACAGAATTGAGTAGTTGCAATACAGAGTGGTATGTGTGACCCCAAAGTTGAAAATAGTTACTGTTTGGGCTTTTACAGAAAAAGTTTGCTAACTCCTGATTGAGAATATAAGTCCATTTATCCTATGTATTGGAATGGGACTGCTGAAAGAGTAAGTGATACAGTAGGAGCTTCATTACTCTATAAAACATTTCTTCTCATCTTAGTGGTAGAAGTCCAAATTTCACAAGTACACAAACACCATCTCTGGAAAATATGATAGTTCCCTCTGGAAACCAGTCACAGCAATGTTTTCAACTTTACTCAACATGGCATCTTCAGTAAGTCAGGACTTTGAAAATACCCTACATCCAAGCCTAGTTATCTTAATCTCAGAGTACTCCTCTCCTCTTCCTACTTCAACATGCAGAGCTCCTGGGTCAACTACTTGGGGGTATGGTTCATTATTTTACTCTAAGGACACTTGAAAGCATAGGGAAGATATCTAAGAGTTGGAATTCCCCAATTTTTTTTTAATCTGGAGAGGCATGAATTTCCATGATCACTGCTTAGATATTTACACACACACACACACACACACACACTCTATATATATATGTAATTAACCATTGAAAATAAAAATCCAATCACAGTAAAGAAACAGTAAGATTTACTGAAACAAGTGTGTTGCGTATCCCAAAAAGGAACCTTTCCACATATAAAATAGGAACCTTTCCACATCATATCTACCTTATATCAGTTACTATGTGGACTAAAATTATTCAACAAATCTAAATATACCATATGCCCTAGGTACCATGTGGGTGTTGGGAATACAAATAAGATGCTTTAAGTAGCTTCCTGTTTGATACTGCACAATAAATAATTACTATAAACTATGCATAATACTAAGATGTATAATAGAGTGATATATGATATGAAAGCATATAGAAGGGACACATAGTACAAGTGGAACCCAGCAGGACAAGTTTTTATAGAACAGAAAAATTTAAACTGAGTCCTGACATGAATTGGAATCAAGAGCAAGGAAGATATTCCATGCCATTGGAACAGCATGTGGAACATTGTGAAGAAGAGCAAAATGTAGTTTTCTTGTATGTCTAAGAAAAATATGCACTTGAAAGTGTCATATTAGGGGTTAAATGGTAGATTAGGGGTTTTCAGCCATTATATTCCCAGAAAACATCAATTTTGCTGGTGACTCATATAATAAAGTAACTTTGTGCGAATCTAGAAGTTTAGTGGAGAAGTTCCAGCACACCATTTGGAGCAAAAATTCAAGAATAGATAAATTGTAGAAAGTAAAAACAGTTTCACTTTACCTACTTTACCTCTCCCCCAAGGCAGCATAGATCATTGCTGACAGAGATTTACCTTGGTCTGTGACTTCCCCCATGAAGAAAGTGAACACCTGACATCTTCCACTGTGCAGGATGCTCCCTAAGAGTCCCACTTTTTTTTTGGTTGGGGGTCTTACCCATCAAGGTAAGGACATCAGCAAGCTAAGTAGTTGGGAGAGATTGGTATTCAGGAAGAGAAGTGAGGATTTACAGCAAAGAGAGCTCCCAATTCAACAAATGGCCACAATCCTATTAACATTTTCATGGACTCTATCCAGACTCCCACCCACCCACAAACCATATGGAATGCCTAATCTACAGACCCTTTAATAGCCCATGGATGCCCCAAACACTCCATGTGCCTTACTCCTGCCCCCTTCCATGGGCAGCTTCTTGCCTATGCCCCTATGGAACAGTGTTAAACTAAAAATAAATAATAGGAGGGGCAGCTCAGCCAGTTAAGCATCCAACTTTGGCTCAGCTCATGGTCTCCCAGTCTGTGGGTTCCAGCCCCACATCGGGCTCTGTGCTGACAGCTCGGAGCCTAGAGCCTGATTAGATTCTATGTCTCCCTCTCTCTTTGCCCCTCCCCTGCTCACACTCTGTCTGTCTCTCAAAAATAAATAAACATTAAAAATAATAAAACATAAAAATAAATAATAGGAGGAAACTTGGAAAATTCACAAATATATGGAAATTAAACAAACCTCTGTTGAATAACAAGTGAGTCAAAGAAATCAAAAGAGAAATAAGAAAGTATCTTGAGACACATGAAAGTAGAAACACAGCATACTAAAACTGATGAGATCCAGTTAAAGGGAAGCTTATAGCAAGGAATATGTACATTAAGAAGAAAGAAAGACCTCAACTAAAAACTTAAAATTACATCTTAAGGAATTGAAAAAAGAACGCACTAAGCCCAAGGTTAGTAGAAGGAAGATAGTAACAAATACCAGAGAAAAAAATAAATGAAATAGAAACCGGAGAACAAAATAAAAGACTTAAAAAATTTTAGTTTCTTTAGACAAGCAAAACTGACAAAGCTTTAGCTAGACTAAGGGAAAAAAAGAGAAGAGTCAAATAAATAAAATCAGAAATGAAAAAGGAGATTTTACAAAAGATAACACAGAAATACACGGTTTTACAAGATATCACTATGAACAAATACACACCAGAAATTTCAATAATCTAGAAGTGGTATATTCCTAGAAACATAATCCTTCTAAGAATGAATCATGAAAAAATAGAAAATTTGAACAGACCAAGAAAGAGTAAGAAGATTGAATCAGTAATCAAGAACCTCCCAAGAAAGAAAAGCCCAAAACCAGTTGGCTTCACTAGTGAATTCTACCAAACATTTAAAAGAGAATTAATATCAGGGTTCCTGGGTGGTTCAGTTGGTTAAGCGTCCGACTCTTGATCTTGACTCAGGTTATGATTCCATGCTTTGTGAATTTGAGCCCCGCATCAGGCTCTGTGCTGATAGTGTGGAGCCTGCTTGAGATTCTCTGTCTCCCTCTCTCTCTGCCCCTCCTTTCCTTCTCAAAAATAAATATTTTTTTAATTAAAAATACAAAAGAATTAATATCAATTCTACTCAAATACTTTCAACAATGTGAAGAGAAGAGAACACTTTCAAACTCATTTTATGAGGACAGCACTTACTCTGGTATGAGTGTCAGACAAGGACATTACAAGAAAAAATTACAAGCCAGTATCTTCAGTGAACATACTATAAGAATCCTCAACAAAATACTAGCAAGCCAAATTCAATAGCTCACTAAAAGGATAATACATGATAATTAAGTGGGATTATCCCTGGGATGCAATGATATTTCAACATATGCAAATCAATCAATATGATATGTTACATTAACAGAATACAGGATAAAAATGATATAATCATCTTAGTAGATGTAGGGGAAAAAAAACATTTAACAGAATTTAACATATTTCATGATAAAAACTCTCAACTAAGAGGTCCAGAAGGAATGTGCCTCATAATAATGAATGCCACACACCATATTCAACACAGAAAAGCTGAACTTTTCCTCTAAAGATCAGAAACAAGACATGGGGGGCGCCTGGGTGGCTTAGTCGGTTAAGTGTCCGACTTTCGCTTAGGTCATGATCTCGCGGTTCGTGGGTTCAAGCCCCACGTCGGGCTCTGTGCTGACTGCCAGCTCAGAGCCTGGAGCCTGTTTCAGAGTCTGTGACTCCCTCTCTCTCTGACCCTCCCCTGCTCACGCTGTCTCTCTCTCTCTCTCCTAGAAATAGATAAAACATTAAAAAAAAATAATACAGTCTTACTTATAATACTATCTGAAATAATAAAATATTTAGGAATAAGTTTAACAAAGGAAATGGAAGATCTGTAGACTGAGAACTGCAAAATACTGACTAAAGGAATTGAAGAAGACAAATATATAGAAAGAAATCCTATGTTCATAGATTGAAAGGATTTATATACTTAAAATTTCAATACTATCCAAGATGATCCACAAATTCAATGCAATCTCTATCAAAATACCACTGACATTTCTCACAGAAATGGGAAAAATAATCCTAAAATTTATATGAAACCATAAAAGATCTTGAATTACTAAATCAACTTTTGGCAATAATAAAGGTGGAGACACAATACTTTCTAATTTTAAATTATATCACAAAGCTATAGCAATCAAGACAGTATAAAAACTACCAGCATAAAACAAGCACAGGGACCAGTGAAATAGTATATAGTGAGCCCAGAAATAAACCCATGCGTATACAATCACCCTTTGACAAAGACATCAAGAATACACAGTGGTGGAGGGGGCGGGTGGGGAAGGATCGCTGGCGAGATCCCGAGGCGAGGCTCGCGCGCCCGCCCCCACCCTGGCCCCCAGCGCCCACCCGGTCCGCCTGGCTCAGCCATGATCAAGGCGATCCTCATCTTTAACAACCACGGGAAGCCCCGGCTACCAGCCCTACAGTGAAGATACAAAGCAGCAAATCATCAGGGAGACATTCCATTTGGTATCTAAGAGAGATGAAAATGTTTGTAATTTCCTAGAAGGAGGATTGTTAATTGGAGGATCTGACAACAAACTGATTTATAGGCATTATGCAACATTATATTTTGTCTTCTGTGTGGATTCTTCGGAAAGTGAACTTGGCATTTTAGATTTAATTCAAGTATTTGTGGAAACGTTAGACAAGTGTTTTGAAAACGTCTGTGAACTGGATTTAATTTTCCATGTAGACAAGGTTCACAATATTCTTGCAGAAATGGTGATGGGGAGAATGGTATTGGAGACCAACATGAATGAGATTGTTACACAAATTGACGCACAAAATAAACTGGAGAAATCTGAGGCTGGCTTAGCAGGAGCTCCAGCCCGTGCTGTATCAGCTGTAAAGAATATGAATCTTCCTGAGATCTCAAGAAATATTAACATTGGTGACATCAGTATAAAAGTGCCAAACCTGCCCTCTTTTAAATAAAAATAAATAAATAAAAAGGCCACTCCTAGGTAAAATCCAGGGGGAAAGTCATCTAAGTTTACCATGCAGTTGTTTACCAAAAATAGAGGAGAGTCTTAACTTTTGCTCTTGGATTGAAGTCAAGGTACTGTAGAGAAGTTGTGTAAAATCAGTATGGAAGTTCAATGGTTCTTTTCCTGCTCAGTGATTTTGAAGAAATGGGGTAGTTTTCCAGTGTGATATTTCACTTTCTTTTCTAAACTGCGGTCCTGTGTCCACGTAAGGCATGCCTCTCTGTACTGGCTACTTACTACAGTATTTCAAGAAGTGTTGGACACATTCCTTTCAACTGTGTACAATCCAAAATGTTGGTGTTTTGTATGGATCACAAGTGCAGCATTCCATTGTTCTTTCTGTTACTTGTCACACTTGTTATTTAAAGAATCAAGTATGTATTGCATGAAAACATTATGACCTTTTTCTCTTAGTTTAAATAAACTCCAAGGTAACTGGGAAAAAAAAAAGAATACACAGTGGTGAAAGCATTGTCTGTTCAACAAATGGTGCTAGAAAAATTGAATATCCATATGCATAAGGATGAAATTGGTGGCCTATCTTATACCATACACAAACTTCAACTCAAAATGAATTAAAGATTTAAAGCTAAGACCAGAATCCAAAGAAGTCCAAGAATAAAACATGAAGGAAAAGCTCTTTGACGTTGGTCTTAATAATTATTTCTTAGATATGACACCAAAAGAGCAGGGAACAAAAGCAAAAATGAACAAATATGTCTATATCAAACTAAAATTTTAAGTATAGCATAGGAGAAACCAAGATGAAGAGGTAACACATGAAACAGGTGAAAATATTTCCAAACAATATAGCTGATAAGATACAAAATGCATAAGGAACTCCTACAATGCCATAAAATAAAAACATAAACAAATAACCTGACTACAAATAACCTGAGCAATGAACCTAAATAGACTTTTTTTTTTGAAAAAAGAAAGGATGTTTAACATCAGTAATCATCATGAAAACACAAATCAAAACCACTATAAGGTATCACCTCACACCTGTCAGGAGGGCTATGATAAAATGAAAAGGTAAGAAGTGTTATCCAGAGTGGAGAAAAAGAAACCCTTGTACACTATTGTTTGGAATGTAAATTGGTACAGCCACTATGGAAAACAGCTTGGTAGTTCCTCAGATAACTAAAGATAGAGCTACCATATGATCCAACAATCTCACTTCTGGATATACACATTCAAAGGAAATGAAATCAGGACCCCGAAGAGGTAATTGTACTTCATGTTCACTACAACATTATTTATAATAGACAAGATAGGAAAGATAAGTATCCACTGGCAGATGAATGAATAAAGAAAAATGTAGTATATGGATACAATGGAATATCATTCAGCTATAACTAAAGGAAATCCTATCTTTTGCTACAACAAGGATGAACTTGTAAGGCATTATGCTAATAAAATTAACCAGACACAGAAAGAAAAATACTGCATTATCTCACTTACATGTGGAATCTAAAAATGTGAAACTCCTAGAAACAGAAAAGAGAATGGTGATTACTAGGGAATGGAGGGGGAGCATTTGGGGAGATTTTGCTCAAAGTGTACAAACTCAGTTGTAAGATTAATAAGTTCTGAAGATATAATGAATAACATAGTGATAGAGTTAATAATGTATACTTGAAATTTGCTAAGGGGGTAGATCCTAAATTTTCTTGACATACACACGAGAGGATAACTATGAGGTGATGATATGTAAATTAGCTTAACTGTGGTAATCATTTCACAGTATATATGTATGTCAAAACACTACTCTGTACATCTTAAATATATATATTTTTATTTGTCAATTATACCACAATAAAGCTAAAAAAATAAAAAGCACTCAAAAGGAACAGAAAAAAGAAAATGTAAGAAAAAAAACCCATGTTTTTAAAAAAATTTTTAAATGTTTTATTTATTTCTGAGAGAGAGAAAGAAAGAGAGACAGCGTGAGCAGGAGAGGGTCAGAGAGAAAGGGAGATACAGAATCTGAAGCAGGCTCCAGGCTCTGAGCTAGCTGTCAGCACAGAGCCCTACGCAGGACTCGAACCCATGAACCGTGAGATCATGACCTGAACCAAGTCAGATGCTTAACCGACTGAGCCACCCAGGTGCCCCCAAAATCCATGTTTTGGTTGATAAATAGGGACAAATAATAAAAGAGATGGTATGACATTTTTAGGAGTTTGGGCTGAACTATTCAGACCAGAGCTGCACGTTGAAATGTCTTCAGAGGCCAGAGTGGAAATCTGATTCTGTGAAGTTGGCAGTAGTAATCGGTATTGGGTTGCAAAAACTGTGAACTACTGGAGACTTGACTCACTTCTTGCTAAAAATTCTCCAAGTTCAAATGACTTTAATACACAGTACTAGCCAACAAAATTCTCCTTAGGTCATACTTGCTCAAAGGCCAACAGATTATATTGCTTGCAAGGGACCCTAGATAGTCACTGAAGAAATTTAATGATGGCATCATGTTAACTGATCTATAGAGGCATGAATGTCCATGATTGCTACTCTGTCATGTTAGCATACAGAGCATACTCAGGGAAGGTGAGGCAATGAGACAGAGTATTTTGAATGTCTCGCATTACACTAGACACAGAGGAATACTCAACAAATAGTAATATCTTTCCCCATTCTCACCATTTCTGTCTATCTGTAACACTATAATAAAGCGAAATCCGCATAAGGGAGATCCGTATTGATGGTAATATAATAATGGTAGTTTCCTATGATTGCTATAACAAATTGTCACAAACTTCATGGCTTATAACAATAGAAATGTATTCTCTCACAGTTCTGTAGATCAGAAATCTGAAATAAGTTTCACAGAGTAAAAATCAAGGTATTGGCAGAGGTGGGCTCCCTCTGGATATTCTAAAGCAGACTCTGTGCCTTGTGTATTCCAGCATCTGGTGGCTGTCAATATTCCTTAACTTGTAATCACACCAGTCAAATCTCTGTCTCTCTGGACACATTCCCCCTCCTTTTGTTAAAGCTTACTTGGTCTCCCTGGTGTAAAGGTATATGTGATGGCATTTACAGCCCACTCAAATAATCCATGATAATCTCTGCACTTCAAGAATTTTACTTTTTAATCACAATTTATGTGATATATGGTAATATTCATAGGTTCCAAGGGTTGGGATATGGGTATCTTCTGGAAGGCTATTATTTATCTGGCCATAAGCAAGAAATCTGTTTTTGGGCGCAAATTGTTTTGGAGTTTGATTTAGTCAGAGTTCTCTGGAGAAAGAGAATCAATAGGATACATTCATATATACTATTCCAGCAGAAAAGAAAAACTACTGGACTTTGAAGCAACCCTTTCTTCTACTTCTTAGCTTTATTATAGATGCAGGTATCTTCAAAGTCAAAAGTTAACTACATTTTTCAAGGTGTCAACAATAATATTATTTTATGATAGAACAAATACTACAGTTGCCTATAAACATCCCTGCCTGCATAATAAAATGCTCAAGGTTATTTGCAACAATGATAATTTGCATCTCCTTGGTCGTGATGTTTCTGATGCCTGGCTGACAACACTAACACAGGAGCGTTAGCTGAATGGACCATCTGCTTGCTTCTCCCTCACACAATGGTAGCAGGAGGGCCCCACTCTGCATGACAACTTATCAGAGCTTCCTTAGTTCTACCTGGTCATTGGGAGTGCTGAAAACCCATACTGTTTTGTATTCATTTATGGGATTCTTTCTGGTATTCACCACATTTTGAGAAACACTGTAGTTGGCAGTTTTACTAAACAATGGGGAAAAACAGCAAGTGCTAAAAAATTGCAGAACCCATGTGATTTATAGAGGGATTTATAGAAAACTGTAAGATGAAATTATAGGTAAAATAAAGGAAGTGTTTTGAAGCAATCTTTCCACTAACAGTTTATGGGAAGTTTAGTATTGCAGCTGTCCAGGAAGCCTAATTATTCCAGTCTCTGTGGATTTACAAAACATACACATAATAGAGAAGGAAAGCAAGTGGAAAGACAGTAAAAGATGAACATTCTTCTTTCTCTTTATTCTAGATATATAATAAAAACCTTACATTTGTGAAGCATTACACAAATTCAACAAAGAACTGAAAATAGCAAAGTTTCAGTATCACGTAAACCATCTTAATAAATAACATGGAAATACATATAATTAAATACCTTACTACTATCATAATAATGGAAGATGTAGAATAAAAATATGAATGTGAGAAGAATTTAAATTTGTACAGCATCATGACAATTTAGAAATGATCAGTTATCATAATTACATATTAAAAGTTGATGGTATGCATTTTACTACAACAGATGGAATACAGGGTCATTCTTATAGTTTATTCTAAAATGATTTTTGGAAACACAAATATAATGATGTCAAAATATTAAAGTAAAGGGAAATAATATAATTACATGACAAATATGACTTTATTAAGTAAAATATTTTTATAATATTTTAGAATGCTTCAAATTTAAATGTGGAATTAATCACTGCCCTTATGTTTAGTGGTTTCACAATAAGGAAGATTTCTGAAATTATTTAACAGGCAGTGATATGCCAAGAAAATGAAGTAACTACTACTATTTATCTTGGATATGTCTCTGTCTTGTGCATGATTAATTTTTTTATATCATCAGAAAAAAAATCTTCTATTGCTTTATTTATCTCCTTTTAAATCTGCCAGAACTGCTCCTAAAATATGATCTGCCCAAATAAAAAAAATAAAAAACCAACTCTTTAAAAAAGTTCATTCCTGCAAAAACATCACTCCCATGAAAAAAAGATATCAACAATATGAAGGGGGTGGTTTCACTCCCCATTAGGATGCAGAAGCACACAAAAGATCTCACTCTTGCTGAATCAATAGTGAGCCACGAGAAAAACAGTCATTCTTTGTTATAAAGCCAGTGACAAGCTATAGGCTCAAAGAAAAGTAAAAGAATTAAACTCTAGAGTTATGAGTCCTTCCTCCAGAGCTAAAGATCAGGGACATTTTCATATCTGGAGCTAGTTGATGAGGTTGGGGCAGGTGTAGAAAGAAATAAGCCCCCAGAGAAAGACAGTCTCTCACAGGACAAAGGGAAGAAATGCTTGAGAAATCAGGCTGGCCCGTCAGGTCTAAAATTAGCGGAGAGGAAAAGGCAAGGATAACCTCTGCCAAGTAGTTATTTTTCAGGGGAATTTCGCAGAATAAACAGAGTTGAGGCAAAGCTGAAAAGCAGAGAGAGGACTCCCAGGTTGGGAGTGACTGCATAACTGGCAAACAGACTGAGACATACC